AGTTGATCAATTGCAAGTGCAAATGTCTCAGCCTCATTTCCGCCCGGACTCACCACAGCTGCATGGAAACACCCATGGGCCAACTTATGAGGCTTCACATAGAGATCATTGAGTGTCTTGTGGTGACCAGCGCTGTCTGGCAAAGCGAAGGACCGCGCGTAAATAGTGGCCTTGAACAAGGCGCTACAATCCCATTTTTCGTATGAGAGGTTTGTGGGAACTTTGGTCCCGCCACCTTCTGCACCAAGAAACATATTTCTTACCGCAATAGAGTCATCCCAGGGTTGAAAACCTGGGAGGTGTCCAAAAGTGTTGTCCCACCTGGATCTGAACGTTTGGCGTAAAGCCTTGGGGAATTCATTCAGTACAATTGAAGCAAACTTGAAATAGTTCAACTGCTCGTTCTGAAACGGCTGCAGAGCCATCCTTTCTGATCAGCAAAGATCAAGGAACTGAACACACAGAAAAAAAGAAAATTTGATGTTGGTTAAAAATGTTTCGTAAATAATTCAGGAGCGGATCTAGGGGAGGGACCCAGGGGGGGGGGCCGCCCCCTTCCCCCTCCCTCTTATTTTGGGCAAAGAAAATCGCAGAAGGAAGAAAAGCCGGCAGGCTTGAGGTCTGGATCCGCCACTGAATATAATGGGCTTTCTTATACCATGAATGATTCATTTGCAAATAAATTTCTCATTTCTGACTTCTTGTATACGGTTACCTTACAAAATCACTGATAGCGGTTTGATTCGATTTAGCGCCTGATGTGCTTTTTTCATTCTGTTGCTCAGGGGAAGAACAAAAACGCCTCTGCACCTCTCACGTACGTGGTTGGATAATTGTAATTGCCTGACGATTACAGCAGTTAGAATGCAAATGTTTACCAACAGACATTTGTCTCGATGGTATTCATAGCGTGTTTGTGACGCTAGAGGAAAAAGACAACTCAATAAGGTGTAAGAGGTCGCGCTGAGAAAGGTCTTAAAGCTTTCAGTTTTAAGTCCTTTTCATGACTTAATGAATCATGATTGCAGCTCTGATACTCTACGAGACAGAGATTCCGTTCACTGTCTCTTGCCGAGCCGTAGAGAAGGGAATAGAATCTCTGCCTCGCAGGGTTCAGCTCTGATTCTGATCACAATAAATTTGTGAGCAGTTTTATTATTAAATAGTGTTGCAAAGGTTCAAAGTAGAGGACAAATAATAAATCGGTGCCAAGACTTAACTTGACCATGTAGAACCAGCCAAGCTCCAAACAGAATATAGGTCCGCTCTGCGTACATGTGTGGGCTTAGCTTTTGGCAGCTCAGTGGAGGAGGAGGAGGAGGAGGAGGAGGAGGAGGAGGAGGATGTAAAGGAGAAGGCGGAAACCAAAAAGGAAGAGGAGGAGAAGG